TTGCAGAGGATGTGATGATGACCTTGGAAAACCTGAGAAATCTTTAAGTAGCTACATGGGAGAACCACCTCGTTTGATTAAAAAGAGTGAATTATCAACTATGAAAACTCACAGCGATGGAAAAACACTTGTCATCGTTACAAGTCCTGGGAAAGCTCTAGGTACACAGATCATTCAACAAAACCAGGAATCTACTCCTGGTGATCAACCATTTAGTGATACAAAGAAAGGTGGACTAACTTTTGAAGGTATTGCCTCGTCAAGTCAGGGTCATGGATTTTCTTTTGGGAAAACCTCAGGCTCATTCAAAGGATTTGCAGGGGCAGGTAGTCAGCTGTTTGGACATTCTAAAAATGAAGGGGATGAAGATGGGTACTTTGAAGATGATGCAGGAGATAACATTCATTTTGAACCAGTTGCTCAGTTACCTGAGAACGTTGATTTGTCAACTGGTGAAGAAGATGAGGAGATTCTATACAAAGAGAGAGCCAAATTATACAGGTTTGACCACTCTAATGGGCAGTGGAAGGAGAGAGGAGTTGGAACATTAAAGCTACTGAGACATTGCAAGACTGGACATATAAGACTTTTAATGAGGCGTGACCAAGTGCACAAAGTCTGTGCTAATCATCGAATTACAACCTCAATGAAATTGACTGAGAATGCTGGATCAGATAGAACATGGGTCTGGAATGCTATGGACTATGCCGATGAGAAACCAAAACTAGAACAGTTAGCAGTGAAGTTCAAATTCCCCACCATTGCTAATGAATTCAAAAATATGTTTGAAAAGTGTCAAGAAATGCTTGCAAATTGTGCACCAACAACTCCAGAGAAACCACCAAGTGTGTCTCCCAATTCAAAGGCTTCTCCATTGCTAATGTCATTATTAACTACTGACTCAAAGACTGAGCAAGGGAAAACTTTGACACAATTATTCAAACCACCTCCAGGATCTTGGATATGTAAGGTCTGTGAGGTACGTAATGAAGTATCCAAGACAGCATGTCTGGCTTGCTGTACACCTAAAGATGGTGCTGAAGGTAGCGAGGAATCATCAGCAAGTGGCACTAAGGGCTTCTCTTTTGGCACATCAACTGAGAGTCAAGGTCTTGGATCCTTTACTTTTGGTTATCAGCCTCAGAAATCTGAAACAGATCGGAAAACCTTCACTGGATTCACCTTCAGTAGCACCAAATCAGACGCTGATAATAAAGATACTCCAAAGGCATTTTCAGGATTTTCTTTCGGTTCTGTGAAGAGTAATACTAGTGCTCCTGTTGAATTTGATGGTGGAAGTACCAGCAAATCTGCTTTTGGCTTGTCACTTACTTCTTTGACCACTTCTGTGGAAGGCAGTTCTGAGAAGAGTCAACTGAATAAGTCCACTGCATCACAGGGGGATGACTATTACAATTCAGATGAAGGAGATCACATTCATTTTGAACCAATTGTCTCAATGCCTGAAAAAGTTGACCTTAAAACAGGAGAAGAGGATGAAGAATCTATTTTCAGTCACAGAGCCAAACTTTATCGCTTTGATGCAGGTTTAAGCCAGTGGAAGGAACGTGGAGTTGGTGATATCAAAATATTACAACACCGAGAAACAAGCAAGGCTAGAATCGTAATGAGACGGGAACAGGTACTCAAATTATGTGCTAACCATTATATAACAGACGAGATGACTCTTAAACCCAATGCAGGATCAGATCTTTCCTGGGTTTGGAATGCAGTGGATGGTTCTGAAGGAGAACCACAAACAGAACAGTTAGCTGTAAAATTTAAAACTGCAAATACTGCAAAATACTTCCATGATAAGTTTTTAGCAGCACAAGAATCACAGAAACTAGCAAAGGCAGAAGATTCACAGAAAATAGCATCCCCTGTTAAAGAAGGTTGTTTAAGAACTTTGATATCACCACCGAAGTTCACACATGTGCCACATGTGTCAGATAACTCTGGAGATTCATCAGCTACTTCATCCGAGGCAAGAGCTGCCAAGCCATCAACATTTGCCACATTTTCATTTGGAAAACAATATGAAAAACCATCATCATCAACGTCAAGTATATTTGGTGAATCAAAGTCTCAAGAAAAGACGGCTATAGATCCAGGTAAGGAAGGACATTGAATTTCATCATGTAGAGCAGATCTTGAATATCTCATTTACTTTTGTTTGTATATGTGTTCTGTGAAGTGGTGTGATATGCATTCACAAGACAAACCTACATTTCCAGAAATTCTAATGTAAATTAGTGAAAGGATCTGACTAGTGTTCATCTCATACTGTTTTCGATTGTGTTCTTATACACAAATCATGTAATACATGTATTTTGTGTTTTTGAATGTTGTAATCATTTTGCTCTCCTCTTTTTACTTGAACTTAATTTCGGCTTGTTATTTCATACCAAATTTGATTTTTTTTTACAATTAATGTTATATGAGGGCAATTATTACATTATTATTATTCATTCATAATAAATATTTTTTGTTTAGATTTTGTTGAAGTTGTGTTTGAAAACAAGCCTTCATCACAGCAAGTGACTGACGCTAAGAAGTACAAATTACCTGCAACATTTTATTTATATGAAGAAAAACCTCCTTGTATCGGATGTCGAGGCTGTTCTGACAAATTGCCTGATGACTGGGATAGTTGGACTGATAGACTTAACAAACCATTGTATCTTGATGATAGTCGTGCAGAAACACCAAGACCAGGTAAAATGGTTCATTATTTGTTTTAACCTGTTACCTGTTACCATAACATGCTACAGCCAAAAACAATTGAATTTAGAATTACAAATACTTACTTACGTTTTCTTTAATTATTTTGATTTCTAGAATCTACAATGAAAGGAGAGAAAGATAAATATTTTGACAGCTCCAATAGTGCATCTTTTGGTACTGTGGCATCAGAATCACCAGATGGTTTTCTATTTGGAAAGAAAGGTAATACTGTGGAATACTTTATTTTCGCTGGAATAAATTTTCGCTGAAAAGGCTTTTTGGACGTTTTGTATGGAATTTATTTTCACTGATTTTTTTATGAGTTTAATGTGAAATATAGGAAAAAAAGTATATTCGCTGGATTTTATTTTCACGGAATCATCCCTTCAGCGAAAATAGTAAAAATAAATTCCAAGCAAAAATAAAAGTATTCTACAGTACTATGTGGCAGTTCGGCCTTTCAACATCCTGTAGGTGTGAGTTGTTCTATGGCATTCTCGATGTCATACTTAGACACATACACCCACATAAACTTGTCCGGTGTAGAATTCACATTTCAAACATAAACTATCCTCGGTATTTAATTACGACTCCAAATGATATATGGTGGATGTCCTATGTGGGACAGGATGTGCTCACTCTATACGAAAAATCTGGTATCACTCTATTGTATAGCATGATGTCTATATACATGTACCTTTCTCTGACTTATTGACTGTGTGCATAATGTCATTGTTGATTGTTTGCCAGTTATTTGTTAGCTCCGCTGTCGACTTAGTCAAGCGGAGCTTATCATATGAGTGATTGTCCGCCAGCGGCTGTTGTCCATCGTCGTCCGTATCAACTTTTTACTTATTCGACTACTTCTTGAGAACTACAAGTCTGAATGCTTTGATACAAGGTGTATATGTACCTTGGGTAGACCTCACTTGGATTTATTCATTTCATGATGATATCTTTAATTCTCTAATTTTAGGGAATATTTTTGTCGGTAAAAAGAATATTTTCTAGTTGCTTTGATATTAAGCATAGGTACTACAATTGGACCTCTCAGATTTGTCGATTTTCTGAAGATATCTTCAATCTTTTAATTAAAATGTGAATTGCTAACAGTGGAGCTATCTCCGCCGTGAGGCTGCTTGTTCTGTTAATACCAATATTATTTTGCAAATTTGTGACTATGACTTACTGCAGTACACATGTAATAATATATATATATGTATATAATGGATGCATAAAAAGAAATAATTTAACATGATTTTTTGAAAGTATTCATGTAGTATTCTAGCAGTTATACTTTCAAATTATACTAAACTGGGCGTTTTCATTTCTAGATCCATCTTTTAAATTTCAAGGAGCTGGTAGTATGTTGTTTGGTTCTTCGTCTTCTAGAATATCAGATGCAGAAGGAGATCAAGTTGTTCCG